ACTGACTAATTTAAAAAATGTATTTACTTACAATACAGAAATTAAGTAATAATTTCTGTCTTTGAGTTGATATATGGTAGATGCATTAAATCAGAAACTTGCTTTGTTTTTCAAATAATAGGATTTACATGGTAATCATTAAATAAATGTTTTTATTTAGCATCTAACAATATACCCAAAATCATTCCACATAAATCCACAGATTTTTCACAATATTCTGTATTTACGCAGAAATAGCAAAAAATGTATGTAGATTTTGCCTGCCCATATTCATAGGTAATGTTGCATTGTTTTTGCAATGTGCTATGAGCTGTCAAGCAGCATGTGGATATATTTCCTTAATTGATGATGTCACCAGCGACTAGTCTACGTCGTCTCAACTTTGATAATATTTGAGTCGAATTCCAAAATTCTAAAGTCGTTAAACCCATAATATATATATATATATATATATATATATATATATATATATATATATATATATATATATATATATACTGTACTGAATTTATGATATTTCTGAAATAATAGAGTAGAATAATAGAGCAAAATGTAATAACCCAGCTACTAGTCTATAAAATAATTCAATTAATATCTACATTTTTCACATAGTGCTAATTTTAAAAAGAACAGGAAATAAACTATTTGCAAGTAATTATTGCATTTGTTTAAAGGTCCCAATCTAATGATTATTCTATCTTAAAATAAGGATTTGCCAAAAATATATTGATTTTATGACACAATTTCCATAATAATAAAAAAAATTAAATAACATGAAATAACATGCAATGCAATAAAAAATGTTTAAAATAAAACATGAGTAGCCAAGAATGGCAAAATAATTTATAATAAAAATCAATTTCAGTTTATATGTTTAATATTAAGTTGCATCTTTGGTAATTAATTGTTTTTGAAATTTAGGAGAAATATCAGAGACAAAATTAACTCTTCAACGCAATAATATGAGTATTTCCATAGTAATATCACACCTCTTTTCGTCAGCCAGTCCAGTCCCCCTATGGTCCCCTTAAAAACAACATCTGAGCAATAACATTTTTCTGTTAATCCCCAAAACTACAATAGCCGTCTGGAATTGTAGTGCGATGCAAAGAGGCTTTTGTTTGACTTCAGTTTATCACTCCGAGCTGCCACAGGATTATTACAGTGCAAATGAAATTCAAATGTTGGCTTACAGCTAATCAGATTCCTCATCAAGAGCTCGGGAAAAACAAGAAACAAACATCACAACTCCAGTGGCGTTCGGTTCTGCCTTCTTCTGATATTTGATGTGTTTATTCATGCTCATTGAGTTCAGCTGAAAGCTGTGTGACTCGCTGTAAGTCTTTTGCATTATCAGAAGTTCACTGGAGTTCAGAGCTGATCTGCTTGTGGAATTTAGACGGTAACCTTTAGTACATTGTGGGTTAAGGCGCAGACTCATAATTCTAGCTGTTACTTTGCTAGTTTACTTTACAAGTCAAAGGAAATGGTCCTTGAAAAGCGTTTGGTCGAAATGTTCAAATGCTCTTAAATCTTTTTTTTCTGTCTAAATGCGAATCACTGGAGGGAATTCAACAGAAAACAAGCTGTAAGATGCAATTTTCAACTAAAACTGGGAAAAATGTATGCATTACAGTGTTTTGGGGGCAATTTTACTGTTGTTTCTCTATAAACGTGATAAACGTGACAGGCACATGAGTACCGAGTGTTCAGTCTGTACCTAGTCACAAGTACCTAACAACCAAAATAGCAATTACGAAATACATACACATTATTAGTAGTTTTTAATGAATAATTGTAAAAGGAGATTATTTTATATATACAGTTTTTGCAAAACTTAAAGAAAACGAAGCAAGAAAGAAAAACGTTGCAATTTTTGTCGTTGTGTATGCACTCAGCTTTAATACTGTTAGTAATCTTTATATTTATATTTAAAAATAAATGATACTTAAGCTCAGCAATACTTTTATATCTGAAATATGCAGTATATTGACCAAAAAACTGGTGTACAAACTTATTTATTTACTAAATAAATTTGAATAAACTGAATAAATAATTCTAAATAAATGTGAAACTTAGAAAGACTGAAATATTTGTCTTGTAGTATTCTCTAGTAAACTTGTTTTATAATGTAAATTATAAAATTTATGTAAAAAAAAGCTATTTCATTTTTTTCTCCAGGCATTCAGGATTATTCACATTTAGTCTTCTTATAAATATATTTTTATATAAAGATTGCACTCATAACCACTCATCTAAACAGTAACTTGACAATATCTGTCACTGAGGGGGTTCGTTTTAAAAGATATGCACACTTTATGCACTAATATGTACTTTTATATTAACAAATTGAAATATTTAGGTACAAGAGGTTGTAAAATATCTGATGAATAAGTTTCCGGATTTTATATTTATATTATAGATAGCATTATGGGATGCTGATCTTTGCTAAAAGTGACTTTTATTAACATTTTAATAGTTTGAAGTAATATAATGTAGAAGAAGTAATATAGAGATAAATACAGGTCTGTAAAATAAATGAAAATGTACTTGCAGTTTATTGTAGGGTAATATGCAACACCAACCCAGACAAAATATCACTTTAAGCTATTAAAAATGATCATAAACGTCATTTTCCCCAACTTTTTAAGGTTAAATGTTGTCAGAAATAAGATCATGGTCTCATAATGCAATTCAAAAGCAAAAAAAATATAATAATAATAATAATAATAAAAACATGAATCACAAAATACAGGAAACCGTTAATTTACGGATATTTTGTTACAGTGTGGTTTACTCCATTAAACTTGGTTTCACAATGAATTTTCCCTTCTTTCATTTTTTTTTTTTCATTCATGCTCTGTTAAAATAGTTGGGTCAAAAATACCACAACATATAACCCTACTATATGTTATTATAGCACCTTCCCAACTATGGGTTATTTTAACCCAGTGCATTGGGTTATATAATTTAATCCAATGCATTGGGTTATTTAGATTAAATGTTATTTTTTCCATTCTGGTATTACTATTGTTAGTACTACTATTAATTTCATAATTCTGGCTGTGTAAATAAATAACAAACTTTTTAAAAAATATATTGAAAATGCTTTATTTCCATTACATTTTAGTTCCAGAAACTTTTGTTAAAATAAATTAGGAATTCCAAACAATGAAGAAACAGAACAAAGTAGACAGTTATAAACTGTGCAAGCAGAAAATCATGTGTTGTTGGAGCAGAATATGGAGCTCTGTGTGCTGAAGAGACTGTCCAGCAGCTGCAGCAGGCTTCGCTCTGTGCCCACTAAGAACAATACATATTAACCACATCCGAATGCATCTAAAAGATGGTTTTGGATGGTGAAACGGATATAAAGACACGACACAGGGAGGTAATTTGATAAAAAAAGAATATTATTGAGTTACAGCTTAAATTAACTTTATGAAAAAACAACATTACGCATGCATATTAATACAGCTGTTTTGTTTCAGTTAAATCAGTTGACTGTTGAAATTCTAAATTTTTAACCCAACTAATTGATTTATTAAATAAATAACCAAATAAAGGTTAAAAATAACCCAACAAAGCACCAAATGATTAACTCAACTGGTTGAGTTATTAATAAATAAACTAATAAAGGTTAAAAATAACCCAACAAAGCACCAAATATGTTTAACTCAACCATTGGGTTAAATAAATAACTCAATGTTTTTTAGAGTGTGATTATGTATATTCAGTCTACTCATAACCACTCAAAAAAAAAAAGAAAAAGCTACAGAATCTGACACTGAGGTGGTTTTGTTTCAAAACATACAATAGTAAATGTACACTTTATGTATAGTAAGTACTTTTACATTAGCAAAATGAAATATATTTAGGTACAAGAGCTACCTAAAGGTATGAGTGTTGTCACTGGGGTAATACATTTACAAAAAAAGTACTTTTTTAGGTGCTAATATATATACTTAAAGTACTAATTTGTATTTAAATGTACCAATATACACTGTAAAAAATACTGTATTTTGTGATTCTCTTTGTTTTCCGTGTATTTATGGTTGTGAATTGCATTATGGGATGATGATCTCTGCTCTGTCGAATTTTGATGTTGAAAATTCAGTTTAACAAAATGACTTTTATTGACATTTTAATAGTTTGAAATAATATAATGTATAAGTTTCAATATATAGACAAATACATCTTTAAAATAACAGAAAATGTACTGGCAGTTTATTACAAGATTTTTGTAGCGTAATATACAACACCAACCCAGACAATCAACACTTTAAACTATTAAAAATGTTAATAAAAGTCTTTTTTTTTTACTTTTCAAGATTAAAAGTTGTTGGAAGAAAGATCAAGGTCCCATAATGCAATTCAAAAAGATAAATAAACAGGGAAAGTAAAAAAAAAAAAAAAAAGCAAATGAAATAAATGACAAATTATAGAAAACTGCTAAATTATGAATATTTTTAAGACTATTTCAAACAAATAAACGTGCATCTTTTTGAAAAGAAACAGTGACAGCTTTTGTACCTTTATTTTGAAGTACCTCCCCATAAATAGCTTTTTTCCCTGAAAACTATTGCAATGTTTTCTAAAAACTATTTATTAGTTACCTTAATAACCTTAATGTAACCCTGTGGTCTAAAACTGACAACAAAAATAACCAGATTTGAGCTTAGCATACCCGAAAATCACAATCGTAAATTAAAAAAAGTCTTTTGTTTTTCCTGATTGTGATGTGAGATACTAAAAAGCGAAAGCTGAGAAGTTCATCATCTGACATCTCAATGCACCATGCTTTAAAATTCCATCTCCTCAAAATCTGCAGCAGTCTACTGTACAGTACATGACCAAAATCCATCCTCACACGTACAGAACTTTATCTTATCTGCTCACAGAAGTTTACCAAATCTGATAAGACCCCGTTCCGTGTGCTTGCAGATTACAATCACAATTGCATAACCCTATCAAACTGAGAGGTAATAATATGTACTCACATAGTCCAGTCTAAATCAGGTGTATGCAGGAGTTTTCAGCTCAAGGCCAAAGGTGCGTAACCCACTGAAAGAGCACTAGGTATCCAGTCTAGTGTTATCAATGCTATTATTCCTCTTTCCTATGGAGAATTCCAGAGCGCAGCACAATCTCCTCTCCTGCCTCCTCCTCACGCTTCCACTGCAGTAGCCCGAGATCAAGACACAGTCCCACTACGAACCTCGCTCACACACACACACACACACCAGAACGCTTGTAAGAACTGCTCACACTCTCTTTCTCTGCTTTTGTGCTTGTCTTTCATAAACACCCTCTCTTTTTACCCCCTTCTTTCTGTTTTACTCTCTCTCTCCCTCCCTCTCTCTCTCTCTCTCTCTCGCTCTGGTGGAGGTTGGGGTTTGCAGCAGCAGGACTCTTGCCAGTAACTCAGCTGTATGCAGTATTGATGGAGTTGCTCAGGGATGCTAACACAGCATGAATTTTCCCAGCGCTCCACTTTCCCTTTCGCTCTTCATATTCCCCCCACCACTTCTCCTGCACCTCCATCTCTCCTCTTTTTTTATTTGTTTGTCACCCTCTCAAACTATCAATCTACTTTCTTTGGCTGACCACTATCTAAATCACACTGTTCCTGTGATCTCCTTTATTCTCCTTCGATTTATTGAGCTTGTTCTCTTTTACTGTCGTTTTAGCAGATGACATCTTGCTGATGTGTGTACAGCATGCACAGGCAGTGTTCCCCTGGAGATGGTCGTGTTTGTATTGTTAGTGGTTAACAGTGGCGTGTGTTAAAGGTCTTGAGATACGTCATGTAAAGTTCTTTAATTGTTCACTTGAGAGTAAAGAGATGTTTAAAATACCCAAGCAATGATAAGTAAAATGCTATGCTTGAGTTTATTCATTCATTAATTTTCCATCAGCTTAGTCCATTTATTCATTAGGGGTCCCCACAGCGGAATGAACTGCCAATTTCATTCATTCATTTTCTTTTTGGCTTAGTCCTTTTATTAATCTGGGGTCGCCACAGTGGAATGAACCGCCAACTTATCTAAGTTATATTAAGTTTTACACAGCAGATGTCGTTCCAGATGCAACCCAGTACTGGGAAACATCCATACACACTCATTCACACTCATACACTACGGCCAACTTAGTTTATTCAATTCCCTTATAGCGCAGGTCTTTGGACTTAGGGAAACCGGAGCACCCGGAGGAAAACCCATGCCAACATGGGGAGAACAGGCAAACTCCAGATGGAAACGCCAACTGATACAGTGGGACTTACAAGCAACCTTCTTGCGACAGTGCTAACCACTGAGCCAATTTGTCGCTCCCACTCTTGAGTCTAGATGTGGATTTCATATGTGTGTGTGTGTGTGTGTGCGTGTGTGTGTGTGTAAGTGTGTGTGTGTGTGTGTGTGTTATAGATTCGATATGAAACCAGAAAGTAATGGCTCATTATAGTCAATACAAAATCAATACCAAATAGACGACAAACAACCAGCCTCAAAAGTTGACTGTGAAGTAAATGGAAAATTTGAAAGATATTTACTGTAGAAATTGCAACAGTAGCAGGAAAGGAAAAGAAGTTTTTGTTGAAAAGTTTAGAAAAACTTAAAGGATAAGTTTGTTAAAACCAAAAAGAGAAGCCATGGCAAAAGTGGAGACCCACAATTATAGAATTTCAAAATTATAGAATAGAATTTTCCTCCATTCATTGTTTTTACACTGATGTATATATCACAACTTTGAATTTAAAACAATTTAATATTTACAAAACTAAAATAAGACAGTAATGTGTGAATTGTTGAGTGCTAAAAATAAAAATGTCTTTAGTTTTTAGATTTTTAGTAAGTGTATTTTATTTTGCCTTTTATCCTTGCCATAATATATATATATATATATATATATATATATATATATATATATATATATATATATATATATATATATTCGTAGAGCAACTTATGTTCTGTTGTCTTTAATATTTTAAAAAACTTTAAAAGGTGAAACTGTCCAAGATATGAAAAGCAAGTTTAAAAATAAAAAGATTTTGAATGGTTATAAAAATCTTTATAATCATTAAAATTATTTATAAAAAATAATTCATTTAAAAATATTGAATGATATTAATGAAATGATATAGTTCTGGAAACTTTCTACTTCTCTGTTTATCTGTCTGATTTTACGGTGGGTTTCTTTTGACCGCCCCCTGTTGTTTTAAAGAAAATCAAAACGGCGAACGTGTCAAGTACAAAAGACTTGTTTGTTTCGTGAGGTGTGCGTGCAGTCAGCGGAGGTCCATGACGCAGCACCAGATGAAAGTGTAAATCAAGCTTAACACCCACCGAGAACACTCAAATAACTGCATTAGAATTAGGGCTGGGCCGATAAACGATATTATATCGAATTGCGATAAAATTTATGTCAATAACAATAAAACCTTTGAATTTTTTTAAACTCAATTGATCTAAGAGCCAATCAAATGTGCAACAATGGGAATCTAAAAGTGTATCACTTTTATTAGAGATGTTATCAGAGGTATTAGAGATGTATTGAATTATCGTCCACTCAAAAATGTATTGGGGGATAATGGTATGCCATTTAATGCACCCTCTAATTGTTATAGCTTCATTCATTGCTGGGGTAATCTTTTACATCAGGATGCAGTAACAACTTATATCAAAATATATATTGTTATCGTTTAATATGGAAAATAATTAGATTGCATTTATGCCATATCGCCCAGCCCTACTTAGACTGCATAAAAACCACTTAAAATATTTTAATAACTGCAAAAAAAAACGACACACGACACTTTAGGAACTACAGGACACGGTGGCTACATGCTGAAAAAGCAACCCCAAGCAAACCTTTTAGCAGTGTACTCAGAACATAACAGTATGCTAAAAACACAAAAAGAACTACATAGCAACAAACTAATATCAAGCAAATGACTGCATAGCAAAGTCTTAAATATCTCTCAGAACACCCTAGCAACCACCCACTATGCTTAGAAACCAACTGTAATGCAACAATCTATATTTATCTTTTGTCTGTTGTGTTTTGACTGCCTTTGTGAAATGGACAAAGTAAAAAGATAGGCTTCTCACATTGTAATTATTAGTGAAAGAGTCAAAAGGCTCCGAGAAGCTCTTTTCGCTGCACTCATCACAAAAGACAAGCTCTCTGATTTCATATTCATTAAATATGCTGTCGGATCAGAGAACAATCTGATATGGAGAAAGGACACGCTTCATTTCAGGGGAGAGTCACTGATTCAACTTGTGCTTGCCAATTACATTGAAACGCATCTAATTATCTGTTTATGTTGAAGAAACGCTTATCACAATATATTAAAGCAACATTCCAGTTTTTTTTTACAAGTTCGCTAGAGTCAAACTGGTCAGTTGTATCATATTTTAATGCATTCAGCCAATCTTCACATCTATACTTTTAGCTTAGCTTAGCTTAGCATAAATCATGGAATCGGATTAGACCATTAGCGTCTTGCTCAAAAAATTCAAAAAGAATATTGATAATTTTCCTATTTTAAAGCTCGACTCTTTTGTAGTTACATCATGTACTAAGACTGATGTGTAATCCAAAGTTATTATTTTCTAGAAATGTATCCATTTTATGTACTTTTTTTTAACAAGATTCTAATGGTCTTAATTCAATACAATGGTTTATGCTATTCTAAGCTAAGCTAAAAGTGCTCCTGCTAGACCCGGATATCAATCAGAATCTTTTTAAAGTCTTTTTTTTTACTGCAGCCATGTTTTATGAATGCATTCAGGCAATCTCCAGGTCTGCACTTTTAGCTTACCTTAGCATAAATCATTGATTCAGATTAGACCATTAGCATCTCACTCAAAAAATGTTTTAATCAATTTTCTATTTTAAAGCTTAACTCTTCTGTAGTTATATCATGTACTAAATTGAAAATGATCAAAACTCTTTTTGTTAATCCTTTTTTTAACAATATGCTAACGGTCTAATCCGATTAAATGATTCATGCTAAGCTAAAAATGCTCCCACCAAACTTGGAGATCACCTGAATAGACTCAAACAATTGTAAAAATCAACTGTTCAACATAGCTGACTTGAAAATGAGCCTATTTCAAAATAAAAGTGGAGTGTTCCTTTAAGGCAGTGGTTCCCAACCTTTTTTTTCCTGAGACCCCCTTTTCCCCTGGAAAGTATTGTAAGGCAGTCGGTTTGCAGTAGGTATAAGTTTGCAGTAGGTATGACAAAAAAAGGTTGTTTTCAAACAAACGACATGTTTATTACTATATCTAGATATGTTTATGCACAAATAATAGCCTAATGTAAAATATAACAGCAAAACATCAGTAGGCCATTTGTATTGGGTACACCTTGCAGTATTAGGGATGACGAGTCGTCTTTGGTGCAGATAAACTGTGGCTGGGTCAGGGACTTTTTGTTTCGAAAAAACTGAACAAAACCATAATTCAGGTAACTATCTTGGTGTTTACTGCATTTTGTGTTTCCATTATTGCTAGCGCTGTGACTCGAAATGTTTGGAGCTTTCTTACCTGGGTCCAGTATGCTTTGGTCATTACTATTAGATGCTGAAGGTGAATCAGGTACTCTGTTTTTTTTTTTTTTTTTTGTGGAAGACGAATTACACATTTTTTTGGTCCATGGGGGATGAAATGAACTAAAGCAACATGATCGTTCTCCTAATTGTCCACTGCTCAGTCTGTTTTTACTGCAGTCGTGTTTTATAAATGCATTCAGGCAATCTTCAGGTCCGCACTTTTAGCTTAGCTTAGCATAAATCATGGATTCAGTTGACCAATAGCATTTCACTCAATAAAGAGTTTTGATAAATTTTCTAATTTAAAGCTTGACTCTTCTCTAGTTAAATCATGTACTAAGAACTTGAAAATGATCACAACTCTCGATTTTATTTATTTTTTTTTTTTACAAGATGCTAATGGTCTAATCTGAATCAATGATTTATGCTAAGCTGAGCTAAAAGTGCTCCCACCAGACCCGGATGTCAACTGAATAGATTCAAAAATCAACTGTTCAACATAGGTGACTTGAAAATGAGCCTATTTTAAAATAAAAGTGTTCCTTTATGGCACCAATAAATTAATAGATGTGTGTTAGTGATTCAGTCTTGTTCCAACAGTCTGTTTTTACAGCAGCCATCTGACATCTTTGTAGCATCTGGCAACAGATTTATAATCAAATTTTTAGTTACCACAAGCATAGGCAAAGATCCTGAGAGAACATCTACTGTATATGATGCCCCCTGCTGGCAATGAAAGAAAATCAGTAAAGATTAATGGTGGAGTGCTGACAACATCAA